AAGGTGCACTGTGTTCTTAGTAGGGACTTGGGGATCCGCTCAATCAACAATGTGGAAGCATGGGTGGCATTCGAAGCACACAGATTAGCAGCAAATTATTGGAACAGAAAGATTGCCATTGAAGCAGATTCAAACCTAGTTATGGATGGATTGAAGGGGAGAAGGGACTCTCCCTGGAAACAAAAGGGAAGTGGAGGTAGGATTGTAACAAGGTTGGATCTAGTTAAATCCAAATTCAATTTGATTAGTGAAACCCTATACCAAATACAATTCAGAATCTTATTGGATCTGGTGGTGTCAGATCTAGTTTGATTCTGGTTGGATTCTTATATTTGGTTATAGTCTGATTGATCATTTTAAGAAATAGATAAAAATAGTAAAAGAATTCATGACTCTTTGGTTTACATACTTAGAATATACTAGTAAATTTGTATGCGCATTGTAGGAGTGCAAATGGATTGGATCATTTTGTCGGGTTTGGATACCCCCATTTTGGATTTTCATATCAGATCGGATCGAATAGTAGGATCTGATTAAACATTGGATCAGATTTGGATGTCTGACATCCTTAACAAATTCAGATTCAAATCAATGTTTGTGAGATCTGATCGGATCTTTGGGTCGAATCAGATCTACGGTTTGTAGTATTGGATCGGATTCAGATATACTCTGATATGAACCCGATTCGATCTGTTTGAATCCTTAGCACATTGCACGTAAAATTTCTTATCTTTATCAGAATATACGAAACAAAGATTAAGTAGTCAAAGCATAGTGTGCTGGTGGATTTAAATTCTGTATTCCGTTTCCATTATTAATAAAAATACTTCTTATTTGTCATATCATTTTTTCTTAACATAATAATTATTTAATATTAGGGATATGCACAATTTTTTTGTATTTTCTATAAATTTTTGTCTATCTACTTTTTGATTTTTATTATGTAATTATGTCATCATGGCTTAACCCATTTGACTCGAACGGAAAATGCTTTTATTTTGGGTGGCTCTAAATTTTATATTCCTTTTCATAATTAATTATAAAATTATTCTTGTTTAATTTGACAAATGTATAATATTTGTCATGTGTCATTTTTTCTATAATTTTTTTTTTATTTTGTAATTTTTTTGATCTATTTTAATTTTATTATTTAATTACAATATCATTAGTTGACCCATGTTACCCAAACGGTTGGACTAATGAACTACCACTTAGATGGGAAAAGGTTTTGTATTCGTGTTAGTTTATTTTTTTGTTCCATTTCCATCATTAATAGAAATATTTCTTATTTATCAAACTTATTTTTGTACCAAATGTTTTCTACAAAATTCCTGTATTTTTAATAACTTTTTATGCTTCTGAAATTTTTATTATTCAATTATGGCATTATAGGTTCACCCATTTGACCTAAAAGTTTGAACCATTGACCCACCACCTGAATAAGAAAATGGTTTAGTTTCTAGGTTGGTTTTAAACACAGGTTTTGTATTGTTGGAATTATTGGTGAAAAACAAAAATACCTCAGATATATGATTTAATGAGAGAAAATGGAGCACCTTTAAATATGGGTCTTAATGAGAGGGAATTGGATGAAGTGAAAAGTAGTAGCTGAAAGTTTTCTGCCCTCATAGTTAGATAGGGACCAAATTCAAAAGTTGGTGTTTTAGTCAATAAAAGTTCCACTAATTTCATCTATTTTTACATACCTTAAATATAGCATTTAATGAGAGGGATTAGGAGATAATACCTTAAGTATAGGACTTAACGAGAGGGAATAGATTAATGAACTTAAAAGTAGTAATTGGAATTAGGTTTTTTATTGCTCTCATAATAAAGGACCAAATTCAAAAATAGGGGTATTTTAGCTTGGTGTGTGTGTGTGTGTATGAGCCAGATCGTATTCATTTCATAGGACTATATCCTATTTTCCAACTCCTAGCTTGGTCCAACTTTATAATTGGGTCATCTTAGTCCAAGATAATTGGATCAGATCCTGTGTTAGGTGATTCATGCAAAATTATGTGGGTGGGTTAACACCCCTGAGAAGTGACTTCTTTCTAAGTTACTATCAGGAGGAGAGTGACCCAAAGCTCCCACAACGGTCAATCATTTGTATCATCTTCTATTGTTTCTTGATTGTCCTCCATCAATGTGGCCACTGTAGTTTAAGTGAGATGGGGGTTTGGAGCCACATCTTGCCATTGTAAGTGAGGATTCTTATTAGATGTCATTTGGTCATCATGGATTTGAAGAGAAAAAGGAGAATTCCATGTATATATAAGGTTGAATAACGAGTCTAATGACCATTATTTTCTTTTCCCATTTTGAATATCCTGCATCTTGGTGACGTCTTACTTGTGGGTCTGCAACTTGTTTTTAGGATTGTGTTCCTTCAAGTTTGCATCATTTTGTTCTTATGCATTTATATGGAGTTTCATCTCTCTCTCTCTCTCTCAACCGGTATGAAAATCATGTCTTTTTGTTGAAGAATGATGATAATATTCCATTGTTTGTACTGTGCATATTGTTATTGCTCATAGGGTACAGGGAGTTTTGATAGGGGTTGCTGGAACCTCCAAGCTTGTCATTTGCACTTATATTTAAATGGTGTCTTGTTTGGTGGATACATGAAAACCTTCTTGATATTTTTCCAACAATCAAATAGAAGAAAAGGAATTTTCCTGCAGCATTCTCTGCCACAATGGAAAGCTGGAGAGAGGGAAAATTAATTTTCTTTTTCTCCTATTCTTTTGTTATCTTCTTGGCAACCAAATGAACCCTTGAATTTTCCACTGGATGGGTGATGAAGACCACTTGGGGACCTTGGTGTTTGTCTAGTTTCATTAGATAGGCTCATCTCTTGGCAGCTGCTATGAATATTTTGTTCATCACTTTAAGTGAACACTGAGAGTTGCCAGTAGTGGTGCATAACCTACTGAGAAGATAGAAAGAAAAAGAAGAGGCCTTGGATGTGGGGAATGGTTCTTTATACAAATCTCATGATCCTTAGGACTAGGACCTCTCTGGATTAGGGGTGCAAATCAGGTACCTGGCTTGAAGAATTTCAACTACAGCTATTCAAGTTTCAATAAATGCTCTACCCAGGCCCACCCAAATGGCACCCCTACTCTGTGTTCCATTTAGATGGTTATCTTGTTCTCCTGTATTCTTCTTCCATGTTTATGTTTTTAATTAATTTTTTCGTTACTGATAAAATAATGCATATGTTTTCAAAAGCGACAGAAACAGAAAAAAATGTAGGCGGATGCTACCTGTTTGTTTAAGGGACCCTGCTTGTTGCATTAATGAATGATGTGAAACCATCTTGGTCTTTAAATTCCCTTTTAAAAATAAGATTCCGCAAGTTGGTCCAAGTAACTGCTAGTTAAGATGAATGTGTGGACAATGGTACTTCAGTACAATTGGGGCCATGTGAGATAGAACTTGTTTTTTTTTTTATCAGTATGTGAGACAGAACTTTTAGTTGGTTAATCCCAGTATTTTAAAAGCGCAAGGCGCAAAAAAAAAGCAAGGGCCAATTTGCGCTTGAGGCGCAAGGCGCACACCTTTTTAAGCAAGGCGCAAAATTACAAAAAGAAAAAGCTAAAAAATTAAAAAAAAAAGTCAGAAAATTAAAAAAAATTAAAAAATATTAAACATAGTGTTAATAAAAAATATTAACTTAAATTTTAAAATAAATGTTTTAAAAAATCTATTATCTAAAATAATATAAATAAACATAACATGTAAAGTGTATTCGGATGAAAATTTAAAATAAAAGCAAACATATAAAGCATTTCCAAGCATGTAAAACTCACAATCTCTTTTTCTCCTTAATTGCATTGCTTCAAGTAGCTAATGTGATGTAAAACATATTGCATTCTTGATTCTATGAGGCATTGCATTCATAGCAATAAAATATCTTCTTAAAAGGCAATGAAAGTTATAAAATCATTATTTTTCATATGAGAAATAAGAATTTCAGACCCTAACATAGACTTGTTTGTGGTTGCCTCAAGGGGCGTGGTCGGGGATCCAGGGGTGGAGCTCCCGACCCAGCTGTTAGACTCAAAAAAAAAAAAGCAAAAAGCACAAAATTTTAAAAAGGCACACACCTGGGCTGAGGCGCAAGGTGCATCAGGCGCACGAAATGGGTACGCCTAGGACCTAGGCAAGGTGTATACCCCAAAATGCGCCTTGCCTGTGTGCCTTGGCGCGCCTTTTAAAATCACTGGTTAATCCTAATTTGAACACATCCATTTCTGATTTTGAGGGATAAAATCTATTTTAGTAAATGAATGATTAGTTGGCTCATCATTTCCTTGGTCCATTATCTTTTCCGTGTATATCTAAGTACCGATACGCCTCTGCCGATACACAGAGGCGTATCGATACTTTGAACCATGTTTCCAAGTTGTTTTGCAGAAAAACTGTTAGGGATTTGCAATGTTTTAAAAAGCGACCTGGAACTGGAACCGTTCTGGCCACCAGTTTATGGGTCGACGGTTCATCCGCCTGGTTCGAACGGATGGCCTGTTCTGACAAAAAAATTAAAACACAAAAATTAAACTAAAAAGTCCAAAAACCATTGAAAAGGTCATATGGGTCAACCGTTCGACCTCCCAGGTCAATGAGTTGACCAATTCAATGGTTTTTGGCCAGGGACTGGATTTGCGGTAAAACGGAACCGGTTTCCTGGATGGTTCCTGGGCCAAACGGTCCAACTGTCTGGGTCAACAGCGGTTCAAAAACATTGGTGATTTGATCATGTTCCTCTCAGCTCTAAATGATATGTTTTTTTTAATCATATCTATACTTGTTATATTCAAAGTAAAATATGTATTTGGTTTCTACCTTTTTAGATCAAATAAAATCCAGATACCAATATGAATATGGCTTGCTGATTTAGATTAATGCATTGGGCTTTCATATGATGTTATTTGTTTCTCTGTTTTCTTTTTTTCCCCTTATGACTTTTTATTTGAAATTTCCTTTGTCAGGTCGAGGCTCAATCAGAGCCAACATCGAAAAAACAGCGGCAGTAGATCCATTGTAGCCAAGTTAGTTTTGTTCATAACCAGATGTGTATTGTTATTTCCATCAAAGGCATTTAGCGAACTCAGGTCCACAAGTCACTACCAGCACCTTTGGTGAGTTGGGGTCTTTCTGGTAACGCTCTCCACTTGTTGCAGTGTCTATGGCCTGCTGTTCCATGTAAGCATTGCCTCTTACCTTATTTGTAAATGTAAACTTCCAAACATGACTCTTAAGGCATCAGTGACCATACTCCATATTGGGGAAATGGACTCCCAAGTTTAGCCTGTTTGATGTCTCAGGATCTTTCTTGATACATAGTTTCAGCTAATTTAATGTTAGAGATTGGGTTCTGCTTTCATATGGTTTGTTGGTGTTATGTAGTTTCATATAAGTGATACTTGGTCCAGGAAGGAACCCTTTTCTTGCTTAATTTAATCTAATGGTTACAATAGCCTTTCCCCTGTTGTTCTACCGGTCTTTGTGCACCATTGTGTTCTTGATGTTCCCCCCATTCCTTCAGAATGCCTCTGCTTGTGGAGTTAAATGTATTATATAGTACATATTATAGATTGATTTGTACAGATTAAGCCACAGGCCCTGTGCATTTGAAGTACTATGATTTTGAAAGCATGTGATTGTAATCTGCAGAGAGCTACTCAGTTACTTGACATGTACTTGGACCAATCCGATTGTTTGTGAGCACATTCATGTTTGCACTAAGCTCCATTTTCCTTTATCAGAAGTAATGGGTAGCGTAGTATAGGGGTGCAAGTCTGGCGGGCTGGGCTGGGTTTTAGTTCAACCTAGGCCCAATCCTTAGAATTGGGCTTAAGGCTAGTGGCCGAGGTCAAGCCTGATCTGTCCAATTTGGGCCCAACTTGCACTGAAAATTGGTGCACTTGGGCTGGTCTTGAGCCTGGGCCAAGCTTGGCCCATCAGCTTATACTAAAATGACAGAAATGTATGTATGTATGCATGTTTATGTATATATGTAAATATGTCCATGTATGTATATAGTCAGGACTGAAAATCCAGACCAAGGACTGAAAAATAGAAAAGCCTGAACTTTTAGGCCTAGGCCCAGACCAAGGACTGAAAATCCAAGCTTAACCGTGTAAATTTGTGAGCTTGGTCGGTCTGGGCTTGGATTGGGCCCACTCAAGATGCACACCTAGCTTCTGTCCTCGGGTAAAAACAGTTTGTCCTAAGTTTAAGCCCTTGGGTTGAAATGTCTTCTGTGGATTGATGAGATGTGCTGACTCTTTTAACTGCTGGAAATACAGTCACCAGAAAATGAGACAATATTATCTGGCAGTGGTGATTACAGAAGGACCTACAGTACCTGTTTATTGTATCAATCTCCTTGTTGAAAAGTTCTAATCCGACCGTTTTGTTTTTTGAAGGACTTCTTTCACTGTTCAAGTGAGGAGGCGGCTGCAATGACCTTCTGTCAGTTCCATTTTGGAATTGAGCCCCGTGGTTAATTACTTGGGGGCCGTTTGATAACTGCTGAATGCTGAAAGTGTAATGCAGAAAAGATTCCAGATTCCAGACTTAAAAAATGGCATAAATCCAGGGGTGTTGTTGGCATATGATAAAACTTATAGGGGGGGGGGGGGTTAAATAATCACTCCAATGCCCGAGTCTGGTTGTGTTGCACTTGTGCACTTCCAGTCTAAGACGGTTCTCATTATATGTGCACAAAGTGCAGTAGATCCAACTCCCAATACCAGAATGCTGAATCATTTTTAAATTTGAAATCGTTTCAGTACTTTGCTTTCAGATCTTGAGCAGTTATCAACTCAACACATAGATAAGCACCCCCTCTCAATGTACCAGGTTTGCAGTCAGATTCTGCCTTGCACTTACTCTTGAGTGTTGGGCCTTGTTTTAAGTAAAAGGACAGGCCGAGGTGACAATTGGTGGGGTCTGGTCTGGGGCAGGGTGGATCTGATCCTGAACCCAGAGTCCCAGATCCAGTTCTAATCCAGATCCAGACCCATTAGAGTCTACAGTAATAGACCAATAGGGCTTATTGGGTTGAACTGATAAGATCCTTTTTGGGCTCAGTTTGGAAAGAGTATAAATACAAATATGTATATCGCAAATACATGCAAAATACAAGGTTTTATGTGTTTCTATGAGAAACGCATAAAACGTCCGAGGGTTTCTATTTAGACAAATGTATATAACATGTATTAGGTGATTGGTTTCTGTTGGAAACAAGTAAAATCAGTCTTGAACCTATTATAATTGGGAATCAAAGGTGTACATGCAAATGGGTCAGATTTTGGACCTTTTGGCCCCTTGGTAATTTTGACCTGGTTTGGCCATTAGTCTATTACTGGTGCTTCAGCAAACCATGCCAAAGATCATGAATCAGATGGCGAGGGTTCAGATCCAGACCCACTTTATCTTTAGGGCGAAGAACCCTAATTGTATTGACCCAGAAGTAAGCATCTTTTTTTATTGGTATTTTGGTGATAACCCCAAATCCTTCTTCATACGAGCAGTTGAGTAGCGCAGCACCACACTAATAACCCTCTCTCCAAAGTCAGTGGTAGCAGGAATCAAATCTACATCCAAATCAACTAATTTACCAACTGAGATGATAGCAGGAATTAAATCCGCATCTTTACGGGAACAAACTAATATACAAACTGAGCCACCCCATATGCGCCTTTCACATGGTACCAAAGGTGTAGCAATTGATATGCATAATGTATCGGCTTTTAGGGTTCTCGATACAGACCTTGATGATTTCAATTGGTGCATATGTTAGTTAATAATATGGCATTTTCACCGTGAAAACATCAAATTAAAAAGTCGGATTTCCTTCTCACAAAATTCGTCCTCACAGCTCTTATGGCCATACGTCGGGATCATCTCTTATATGTTCTTATTTATGGGAGATGTGCTCAATGCATAGCTGCAAAAGGGCTGTGAGGTGGATGTGATGAAGAATTTTGTGTGTAAATCCGATTTCCATACTAGTTACAATGGATCTTGGATGATACACCCTGAGTAAATTCCCCATAGACGAGGTAGGAGCCATGAAAAGATGTCCAACTGTCATTAGTCGTTTACGAGGCATAATGTTTCTGGTGAGGTTGGACAATCAAGTATGCATGTATGACCTAGAATGGCCAAATAAAATTAATTAATACTTGAAAGTGCTAATTTTAATGATCAATTAATTCTATGCTTTCTTTCTTAATTTTATTGTTGATATGGTACTAATAAGAAAGTGTTGAAAAGTATAATCAAGTTGAAATTTAAAACTCATGCTGTTATAATATACTGTCTAGTGGTAACTAGTAAGGACTCTTATGTTGGAAATACGATTTCCATGTATTTATTCAAACTCAAATGTAAGGACTCTTTGCTAATAAAATTAAGACTTCCTTTATGAGGCACTCTGTCTTCAGTTGTATCTATTCATGGTTAGGGCTACAAATGGATTGAATCAAATCGGATATAGGTATACCGAAATTTGATTTGTTTGTATTCGAATTTGAATCGGATCCTATCCATTGGATGTCTAGCGGATTTGAAAAGATTAATAAAATGTACTAAAATGACTTTAATACTGTATCTTATGAACAAAATGAATAAAAAATTACTTGTATGAAACTTAAACCTATGACAATTTAGTAATAATACAACATTCAAATCAATTTTACTGATAAATATAATATAAATTTTAATTTTACATAAGAATATATATAAATAAATAGATAGATAGATATATCCTAAAGGCCAAACAAATTGAATTTGGATCATCCTTAATAGGATTGAGTTCGAATTCAAAGTCGGACAATCAAACACTGTTTGCAGTTCTATTTATGGCTAATAGTTCCCCAAGTAATCTTGTAAGGCATAAAATGATAAATGAGCCTTGTAATGGAAGATCTGAATTATTCCCTTATAAACCTGAATATCCTAACTGGTAAGTCTGGACAACTGACTTATAAGTTTAGCATATGAATGATTACTATAAGATGGTGTGCTGTGATCTTAGCCTTTGGGATAAGTCTCTAGACTACCATATGGGTGTATACTAGGATACTCTTTAATAAAATCCAATTTAAGATTGATTCATGAAAATATTTGTGTTAGTATCAGATGTATGAATATTTCATATGCAAAGTCCTTTTAGTTCTTGAATTTGAGGAGTTTCAGGGCTATAGGATTATAATCAACCACTTTGATATACCATGAGGATGGTTGCTGAAGATTACTCCATATATATGTTACATGTTTGGGAGTGATTTTATGGTTCTAAGAATATCCAACAAGGAATTTGTACCTTCAAACAATAGGAGAGTATCATTGCCAAAAAGTTAAGTTAAATCAAGGTTCTGGCTAGGAACCAAAGTTAGAGTGGGACTCCATAAAAGAATCTTAGTGAGGCAAAGGAACTTATAGGAAAGTTTTTAGGGATTGTCCTAGAGTGTTCTGACTGGAAACCCTTGATACACCTGAGTGATTATGTTTTAGCAATTACCTTGGAAGAAATAAAAATAAAAAAACTAAGTTTTAGGAAGTTTCCCAAACAGAGCATAACTCTTAATTAAGTCCCATTTGATAGTGGTTGGTTGAGACGATGACTATTTACACAGTTGAGACAATCACATGGAATTTTCTAGAGCTTGTCTTAATGTCCTGATTGAACTAAAAATCCCCGGTATATCTAGGTGATTATGTTCTAGCAATTTACCTTAATAGGGTTTCGAAGCAAGAAACTAAGTATTAAGAGGTTTCCTAGTTAGGGGTGCAACTTGGGTGGGCTCAGCCCGAGCCCAAATTGGCCCAGCTTGGAATTTTACATGGATTGGGCTTGGATTTTTGGTCCTCAAGCTGGGTTTGGGCCCAAGAAGTTGGGCTTTTTATTTTTCGCACCGGGCTCGGGCCTAACCCTTAGGTAGTCTAAACCCGGCACAACTATATATATATATATACAGAAGTTTAGAGTGGTTTCATTGACCAACCCGAACCCGTCCTTGGCCCGAGCCCAACCCGAGTGCATCCAATTACAATGCGAGCTGGACTCGGGTTGGAAAAACTGGACTTGACCTCAGGCTCAGTCTAAGCTTGGGCCTTAAGCCCAAATTTTAGGTCCGGGCCTGGGTTGACGATAAACCAGATCCAGCCCACCCGACTTACACCTCTATTCATAGTTGGAGTAGAATTCTTGGTTAAGTCCCATCTAATGGTGGTCTGTCAAAACAGTGATTGTACACATGGTATCCCAACCACTAGGACATATACTATTATAAAAAAGGATTGAATTATAATTTTACTTTGCATAAACGGCTAATATGATAATTTCTAGGACTTAAGAACTTGATTGCAAATGAGTAGTTGGACCTCTTTGAAATTTTAGGATTTTTTTTTTTTAATCCTAACCAAAAGATTAGAAAGAATGATTGGAAAATTCCAATCTAAAAGTAAAGAAACAAGGTATCTCTTGAAAAACCCTAATCTTAAAAGCAAGGTTTTTAAAATCGAAACGGACAAAACTGTTGGGCGGTTAGAACGGTTTGATCGGCCGGGTAAGTAGTTTGCTGACCAAATCAACGGTTTTTTGGCGAAATAACGGTTTTGGGGTAAAATGGAACCTATCACCTAACCGATTCCCGGTTTTTCCGGTCCGATTTGAGCATTTGAACCTACATATCTTGATGACCAGCCGCAAAGGAGAAATTGAACATTTGAACCTACATATCTTGATGCCCAATTGATCCAATTTGAGTGCTGAAAAGCCACAAAGCAATGTTTTAAAAATTGACCTGGAACTGGAACCATTCTAGCCACCGGTTTCTAAGTCACTGGTTTGAACAAATGGCCCGTTCTAACAAAAGTAATTAAAATAAAAAAGGCCAAAAACCGTTGAACGGGTTGAACAAATCAACGGATCATTGACCAATTCAACGATTTTTGGTCGAGGACCAGGTTTGAGGTAAAATGAAACCGGTTGCCTGAACGGTTTCTTGTCCAAACGGTCCAACCATCCAGGTCAACGGCAGTTGGAAAACATTGCCACAAAGCAAGGGAGTAGGGAGACTTAAATTGAAATAGATAATTTTGAAAGTTGGATCAATAATATTAGCAAACTTTTTGATTAAAGAATTCTGATTTCATGTGTAATTGAGGCTTCTACATGTATACAATAATTAAAAATTATAAATAGTTAGATAGCCTATGGAGATCTCCCCCATATAGTTAGGATAAGATATGAATGATGATGACTCTATGGAGATCTCCAGGGGATCAGGGTCAAGAACGGGGATTTGTTCCAAAATCGGGGTCGGGGCCGGGAAAAATGACCCCCGCCCCGTTGCCATTCCTACGAGGGATGTACCCTCACGATCTGGGCACGACTCCTCGTTTCTTAGATTTGCAATGTCCGTGTTGACTTGTTGATTTCCAGAATTTTCACAATTCCTTCAATTACTTGAGGGGATGTCCCCTCATTGACAAGGGTCGACTCTTGCCTCAACCTAAAAACCCTAACCACATTTTCCATGACCAAAACCAAAGTACTCGAGAAGTCATTTAAAGATCTAGAATAGGTTTTTATTGTTCATTCTCAGTGCATGTGACTTGCTCTTATTTAGAATTCAGACAATCTCCAGTCCACTGAGCAACAATAAACCTGAAATGCTCAAACCCATTTTTGGCTGCAACAATATCCATTGTGTGTTTGTGATCAAGAAGACAAGAACATTTGATATTGACCCACGGTCTACAAGCACAACCCAGCTCACCTAAGTTGCACCCCTAGTAAGATGTTTCGACCATTTTACCCATATCGTGTGTTAGTAGTATACGGCTGTCAACAGACTCCGAAAATCCAAAGCCTGATCATCCAGTCTAATTTCTCAGATTTGGATGTTGAAACCCGAAACTATTTGGCAATCAGTAAATCAGATCAGATGCAGATATGACTCCATCAGATCCGATAAAAATCTGAGTCTAATTATATGTAATATAATAATGCATACATTGTATATAATTTTCTATAAAAATAATTTTTAAAATATTTTTCTTTAGTTAATGATAATAGAGCAAGTTGGATTAATCTGAATCCAACCCAAGTCCGATATTTCAGATTTTGGAAAACATTCGGATTTGGGATTCAATAATCTGACATTCAGATGTAGTTTATTCCGATCCGGATCCGACCCAGCTAAACAACACTATTTATAAGCCTAGTCGAGTCTTGGAAATCCATATTCTATCATTCAGTTCACGAGTTGGTACTTGTTCTACCCTGACTTGGATCAGAACAGACACATTAAGAGTCCGTTTTTTTTTTTTTTTTTTTTTTTTGGGGGGGGGGGGAAGAGAGAGAGAGAGGGAAAGTTGGTCAACGGGGTTTTGTTCCCATTGATTAAGAAATTTATGTTCTTTTTTTAGATTTATATAGGATCCAGGAAATTTTATTTTTCCTCCTGTGAACACAAGGGAAATGGATACAATGGGGCCCAGAAGGCGAAAACATAGCAATTTCTTCTCATTCCAAGTTTTAAGGGAGATTTGAGAGGACAAAGATATGCCTAAAAAATTGCAACCAAATGATTTTAATCTTAGATGCACTGGAGTAAATTTGTACACAACACACATCATCCCTTTTAACATTCAGGGCACCTCGTCAATGATTAATCAGTTTTCAAGTACTAAATTTTTAGCAAAATGTTCACAGATATTCAACATTTCTACCTCAGACTGTTGTTACAAAAAAGAGAAAAAATGCAGATCTTCGCTAAAATAAGATATACAAATTGAGAACTAATAAATCAAGTTGAAAAGTAAAAAGCACCAAAAGAATCCGTTAATTACTCTATTGGTACAAAATTCAGATGGATGAAGGCTCTAATAGTCAATTCTGAAATTGCTACAACTACTGCAACCTTTTCTTCTTGAGGGTGTCCGAGTGTCCATCAAGAATGACAAGATCATCATCATCATCATCATTAATTTCTTCTGGTTTCTGGTTACTTCTAGTACCAACACTAGCGGCTGATGCAATTGAAGAGGTGCTAGAAATCTCAGACGATTTTCTTTTGGTCCCAGTAGAAACAACTATCTCCGTTTCATTCACATCTTCCGTCTCCACATGCACTGGTTGAGAAACAATTGATGTGCTATCCTCATTGTCAACCTGCTTGTGATTAACTTTCTTCATTTGAGGAGATTGTACCCATCCAGAGAGAAGCATTCCATCAGGTTCCTTCTCCTCATCAAATTCTTCTCTGCAAGTAACAAAGCGCGCTCAGGGATTCCCTCAACTAACATTTCCTAACAAAATATATAATAATTGCAGCGTATAGAGACAATTATAAATGTTATCAAAAACTTCATTACACCAGCGAAAAAATACTAAATAGCATTTTACAACCTGCAAACAGAAAATCAGTTTGTCTACTTAAACCCATGCCATTTGTCTACCCCTAGCCCTTTCAGACCCTTCAACTTGCAACATCACTTTTGCTTACAGGTACTGCAGATCTTCTATGCACGTGACCAAACCATCTTAGTCTACTTTCTCATTTTATCACATCACCTATTAGAGTTGCTCCTAGGTTCCTTCAAATGACTTCATTTCTGACCCTATCCTTCCTAATTTTTTTCCACTCAACCATCTCAGCAAACACATTTCTGTGACATTTACATTTTAGACATGTTTCTTGACTGCCAAATGCTCTTCTCCATACAGCATTGCTAGCTTTACAACTGTTTTAACAGACTTTTCCTTTAAACCCAAGTAGTATCTGCTTATCACATAAGACTCCAGATGCATCCTTCATTTTGCCCATCCTGCTCTAGTTCTATGAATCATCCTCCTCAAACTTTTCTTTATTATGAATTAATAAACCAAGGTGAAGGAAAAAAAACAAAAGTAAAAAAGAAATTGCATGTGAACTTGAACTTTGAAAGAAATTAAATGTTTAAAAAACCTATTGGCATAAACTAATACATAAACACAACATAAAGTGAAATCAAACAAATGTGGATTGTACCAAAATGCTTAAAACAGTCAATAATTCAAGCATGTGAAACTTTCAATTTGTTTATTTTTCTCCTAGTTGAATTACTAAAAGTGGCTAGTGTGATGTTAAACATCTTGCATTCCTAATCCTATTAATTGTTACTTGGTTATCACAATACAGCTTCATATGACCATCAAATATAATCCTCAGCTCTTCCAAAAGAGTTTTCAGCCGGTGTATTTTCATAACTCAATGGGCCACTGCTCTATATATGGTTCAGCACTAGATCTAACAACCATAGATTGCTTCTAGCTTCAACTAGCTGCTAAATTACCACCTGTGAAGGTACAATATCCAGAGGTGGATCATCCATCATCAATAGACCCAATATAATTTATATTTGTGAAGGTCATAGATGGTTGGCATAAAGAACCTCTCCATATGACGCCCAACTTATGCTTTAGGTCTATGGGAGTGTAAAGAGGCCAACTCTCAATTTCCCAAACTCTGCAATAAGTATTGAGAAACAAATAGATCTTTTCTTGACCAATCTACTTCAATTACCAAAAAATGCAAGGTTTCCTCGGTCCTTGATCTTGAATTCAAAAGCAATGAATCTCTTCAACTTGTCTATCTTAGCAGGATCCCGTGAGAATCAATGGTAGTCATAAAATATAGAAGATTAAGTTTTACAATGTGTCAAAGTGAACAACCTCCACCCCCAAATAGTAATAAAATTTTTGTATAAGTTTAAAGTTCTCTATTAACTTCTGAAGTAATAAAATTTTTCTTTATTCATCAAAAAAATGTAGAAACACACAATTTAGACAAATTTATTTTCAAAATATTCGTTTTCATTACTTCATCAAAACAATTTTTCATTCTTCTTTGGATGTGTACCATGTTATAACATTTGTTGATGATCTAGGGAATTACCACCTTGGAGCACAATAAATGCAGCCATATAAAGTGAGAAGAATTGTCCACAAACAAGATAAAATAGTGACAACCATCTAAGTAGGAAAATAATCTAGAGCCCAAGCAACAAAATGCACAATGTAGAAAGGAAAAGAAAAGAGGAAAAAACTATAAAAAAAATCCTGTTTCAAAATAAGTATGAAGTTCTATAATGGTTGGTAAGTAGACAAACTTGTTCTTGGAGGCTCAAGGGGGCACTGACCATTATTACTATGGGATGGCATATCCCAATATGTCATGAATATTAGAAAACTGCTGGTGGAAGGTGACTTTAGGTTGGCAATTAACTGGATGCAGAAGGAAGATTTCATTCTGTGGAAGTTCTCAAATGAAAAAATGAAAATTAACCAGCTTACTCAAAACATGCAAATTCAGGTTCAGTGGTCCAAAAAGGAGTGCTAATTCTCTGGCAGACTCTTTGGCCAAACAAGGGGTGGGAAGAGCCAGTTTCTTTTGGGCATTGATGTAATTCGATATCTATTTTTAGGGAGGGTTAAGAGATTTTACCCCTCCCTTCTCGTTGTATTTTTCTCTTATCTTTTCTTCAAAATAAAAGTTTCTGTTATTGATAAAAAAAATATGCCATGATTTAAAACTAGTGTTTTTTATCAGTAACTGAAACTTTTACCAGTTTATAGAAAAGTGTGTTATGTATAAAATGTTCTTGGATCCCTCAGGCTTAAGCTAGCAGATGCTACCTAAACCAATCCTTTGACATTAGGATTTATATTTTCATTCATCCCCATAGAGATGACCCCCAAATGCACTTGTGTCCTCATGACCGCCAAATGCATTTCTCAAGCAAGGTAACTGATTTCTTTCACATAATGCCGATAGTGATATGCATCTTCATACTTCTTAATATAAAAATTTTTATTAAAATTAAAGAAAAATGAGATCCTCCTGCCTCTTCTCCATCCTCCTTCCTCCTCATCCCCCCTCCTCTTAAGTAGGCTTACGCCTCCTTGTGTTTGGGAGGTATACGTGCTCTGAACTACGCCTCACGCCTCTAGGTAGTGGAACGCCTCGCATCACGCCTCCGTGTTTTAAAACATTGGTCGATACAGCCAATCTCTCACTTTTGTTTTTAAGCCATCTCACAGTGACCTTTGAATCTCCCCTCTACCATAAACATTTATAAATTTGATCTATTCATATTCTTATTCATTGGAGTACAACCAATAATTCAGCTATGATTGAGTTCCCATGTCTAATAGGTCCTGAATGGGGGTGTAGACACCCCCAATGACAGATTGCCCTAGATTTACAAAGATGCACCAATCAAAGTTCAACTTAATGTTGCATGCTGAAGGAGGGAACCAAATTGAGGATATTAACTTAATGGCCAAGGATGATGAAGAAGCAATATATTGTGATCATCTCACAATATTATCCACCGAAAAAGGGTTAAAATTGGTGAAGTGTTAACCCAATGAACCACCTTTATCGTGATGTTATCAATCATAGCCTCTTTAAAATGGGCCTCTTGAATAAACTTGCATTTCATTCTTCCCATAATGACTAAAGGATACATCTCCAAAGGATCTTTCCTCTTTTCTTGGGTGGGGAGAACAAGGTGTCATAAAACAAGCTACTTACATCATATTTCTCGGAGGGTCAAAGAAATGCTCCCAGATGTTAGGGACAAATGTACAGGAATTTGGTAGATGGCTTATAGTTTCACAACTTGCTTTACACAATGAGCAAACATGAGAGGACAAGCTTTACACAAAAATAAATAAATAAATAACATGAGGGGACAAGCACCAATTGAGTTGCCTCCTTCAAAGAACCTTGTAAAATTGATCCTTAAATAAAAAACCTTCTAACAGAAAGCCCTAACTTTGGGTGGAATTAGCCAGTGCCAGAGAGATTCCTTCAAGATCTATAATTAAATCTTGAACTACAGAGAATTCAGAACCTTTCAAGCCTCTCCACAAGGGGCTATGGGTTTGTTTTTATCTCTATGGAATAAATTGAGGGATATTTGTCTTTTAATGGCATATTACCCCAGCATAGGCTGTGGACATGTTGAATTTTGACTCCTGTGCCCAAGTCCATGTAATACAGCTGAAAATACTAAAACCATCCCCCCTTCCTGATCATTGAAAGTCCATCCAATCCCAAAAACCCCCTTTTTTATCAGCAATGGAAATTCATTAATATTAAGTTTGGTACAATATGTTGCAGCACTCCAACAAACCGCAACACAAAAGTTTACACTTCTGCTCAAAACAAATGATGTCTATTAACCCCCTGTTTTTCTAGTGCATATGCCATCCCATTTGCAGTTTTTCTAACCCAAGTGTTGAGTTTCCTTGATAGGTATTCTATCTCTTTAACGGCATTCCTGTAAACCCAAGGTACTTAAGTACTTTTCCTTGTCCAATATATGACCAATTTTGAGTCCCCTTTCCACTTCCAATTCTCAGAATCTAAGCTGTTTTGCTAACCTTAGTGATTTAGTCCTTGCAACAATGCCATCAGTTCAGCTATAACAGAATATCCAACTCCAATTGGCCCTGTGTATAAGGCCACCACCATGCCTAAGTGATTCCTGAATACACCCCCTTTGCCTTCCCTCTCCGGATTGTCCATAGAGCTGCCATTGAAGTTCAGTTTCAATTTGTTTTCAGCTGGGGATTTCCAATCCATGCTAACACCATCCTTCCTTCTACCCCATCCAAAAACTTTAACATGTCTTTTTGTCCAAATGTAAATAAGCAAGATGGTAATATAACCAATGTTCTTCAAATTAATTATTGTATGATGGTTAAAAAATATATTATTTTTGCTACATAAAAAACACTTCATTTGATGTTTCTAAACATTGTTTCTTATATTCATCCATGTATCCTAAAAACAAAAGAAAGTGCAAGTCTTGTAAGGCCTATCCTTAAAACTCAAGGAAAAAACAAAAGATTAACAACATAAGTGGTCAATAAAATAGTAAAAAAGCTCCTGACTAAGATGTGTGGAGCAAAGACATCAAATGGCTTTTACTTCGATTCTTCAAACACACAATCTATTTTCTTTTATTGCTTTCTAGTGAATCAAGCAAATTAGGTGTTCTGAAATCCTTTTAGATATTAATAAACTCTCCCACAGGCTAAACAGTTAAGGAGAAAGTTCAAAAAAGACCTGTGTTTGATATTAATATTGCATGTCAGTTCTTGTTGAAGATCCTCCACAGTGAGAACTGTCCCACCAGTGACTGGAGAAGGAAGTTCAGCTAGTACCTGAGAACAATGGAGACATAAACAATTAGAACATCCATTTTCAAAATATAAACCATTATAACGGTTATAACAATTAATAATTGTTGTTAACAACTGATTATCAAACAATACACTTCAATATTTTGACATAGAAATGTATTACAAACAAGGAATTACAGCATTCAAATCCATCCCAAAAAAAAACAGAATTACAACATTGAAACAGCTAAGAGCAGCAGGATAATAAACCTCAAAAAGTGCTAGTGTGATGTTACCAGATATATAATCCATTTTGAAAAGGGTAAACCAGATTCTCCTATACTATAGTAGTAAAAAGTGTGTGTAAATCCAGATGTCTATGTTTATATAAATAATAAATGTATATGAAGAAAGGTGTCCTAGTCAGGTCAAGTAGGATGCTCCCCTATGAAAACTCCCCCATTTCTGTCCAATCAAGGGATGACATAGCTAATCCAATGTGCATCAGGAGACCATCTAAATTGACCACATATTCAAAACCTCCATCTATAACAGCACCAGCCAGCTTGTATTGCCATCTTCTTTTCTCTGACAATAATATCCCCAAGTGATATTACCTTTCTGAAGTCTGAATTTTTCAGTTCGAAATTTTCCTACTATCATGTAACTGCGCTCTGATTCTAACGAGAAGAAAACAGAAATACAGCAATAAAAGGATGCAATAAAGAGATGGGAAGGACAAAAAAAGAGTACAAAGAATTGGCATGAGGAGAAAACACTATTCCCCACCTGCACTCAACTTCTATTTATACTAAGAGAACTAACTACAAGTAAAAGGACCATATTACCCCTCCTTAAGTGAATTTAGAGTAGATTGACAGAACTGTCCCGCCACCTACTCCAATACATACTATAATATTTCTAACACTCCCCTTCAAGCTGGAGCATATGTCATACAACTCCAGCTTGTTAAAAAAGTAACCCATTCTAAACCCAACTCAGACTTTTGCTAAACAAGTCAGTGAATTATCTTCAGACCTTACATAAGGTGTAGATATGTCATCATTAATAACCTTCTCCATTACAAAGTGACAGTCTAGTTCAATGTGATTTGTTTTCTCATGAAAAACAGGGTTGGATGCAATATGAATTGCTCCTTTATCATCACAAAATAGATTCATAGGCTCTGTAATTTGTATACTAATCTCCTTAAGTAGGTGTTAACCCATATCAGCTGAAACATAGTATGAGCTATGGCTTTATCTTCCACTTTTGCACTGCTTCTAGCCATCATGTGAAGCTAAACACTTGGGATATTCTGCAAAAAAAGAAGACCATCTCTTTGCTTATACCTAACCCAAACTCCACCCCTACTGCTTCCACCCCTGCGTTGCCTGAAGAAGTCACAATCAAAGCAGAGCAGCTTTCCAGGATCAACACAGCGTCAACCATCTGATGATTAGATGCATCAATAGCCAAAACATTCTCACCACCTTCTCGACCACAGCACCCAGGAGAACTACCATTGCATACATGCTTCAAACACTCTTATTAACAGCACACTCCTTCACATCTCTCAAAACAATCATTTTTTTCCAAATCTGTTGTATCTGAAATCACCCAGAACCAGCTTTCTTCCTTTCCCCCTTGCACCTTGACCAAGTGCATTCCATTAGAAGCCCCAACCCTTCTGATCTTTGGGCACTTGAAAAGAAAGTATCTTCTTTTACCAACCTGTAACTTGACCAGACAGTTTCCATTTCTGCAATCTTTAAACTCGGCCCTCATAAAATGATCCCCACTTAATTAAAGTATTTATCATTTCTCAAAAAAAAAAAAAAAAATTGATCCCCACTTAAACCTCCAGCGTGCCTCACAACCCAACCCACCTCCTCAATTTCTAAATTCAAAGATTATAGACAATTACTAGTGCAAGAAAACTATGACCAAGACAAGACACCTCTCCCCCCCCCCTTCACCTAGCTTTGCCTTGGTGCCTTGAAAACTATGACCAAGTCCCTAGCATCAGCTTTAGTATAACTTCTATGGTTAAAAGACAAGATAATGTACCTTTTCCAAGTTTGATGAATAATTGGCGACCATATCTTCATCAAGATCATCCCCGACCTCATAGAGAAGGGTTGAGCCATGCATGATCAATGGCAAATTCATACCTAGCTTCGCTTTAACAATCTTCTCCACAAAATCTCGCAGCTTTGAACGATGAGTATTAACTTCAAGTAAAAGAGGCGTCTATTTCCAATTGCACATTTGTGTGTGGTCAGAATGCAGTAATAAACCAGAACTTTAAACAAGAGTCAAACAATGATGTGCAAATAAGACTGCATTACCTCTGAACAGACATAACAGGATTTGTTAGGCTCAAATGGTTCTACTGGCATCAGAAGCATCTTTTTAGATGGATGTTCAAGACAAAATGTCATCCTGCATAGAAAAGCCATTGGATTACTCTCCATTTAGCAAGGAAAGAACCAAATAATGTAAGAAGATTAGTTGTTTTGGATAGATCAGCAAATTGCATGGTGAAAATTTATAACTAAGAAATGAGATAATAGAAGTAAGAAGATTAGTTGAAGAGATTGGAGTGAGATTTTAATGGGCATACAGATCAACAAATGGCATGGCTAACGTTTTAGGAAAACAAGGAACTCTCAGGGAACAGCTGTTTTGGAGAACCATTTCCCATGGGGGCAAGTTGTAATCCAAACAATACACTAAAATGAATGGGATGGGCAGGCTATAGGCCTGTAAAAAGGGTGCATGGCACACTGTAAAGAATTCTTTTTTTTTTTTTCGTAGAGCAATGAAGTTCAAGTTACCAATCAAAAATAAAAGCAATAATGTAATTTTACACTCGTATACCATAAGTAATTATTCATAGTCACTAACCAACTGAAAATTTAAGAAATTATCATTGTTAAATACTGGACATCTGTAAGTTGCTTAAATCAAAATCCAAGTGCATGTATCAGAATCTAAACATTTTTCTTTCATCAGTCAGAATTAAAGCATTATTATCAGTAATTAAGGCTTTCTTATCATTCCATCCACTTAAAGGCTTAATCCACTTGCTTCAACAGTCTGCAAACTAATTTAAACTTGTGTGATTGTACCTACACTATGATACATCATAACCTTTGTTTTAGCTACAGAAAACTGCAATTTCAGATTACTTCAAGACAGTCCCCAATGCAACACAAAACCATATTTTGATACTTGCATGCACTCATACCAATACAGAGTCCTTTTCTATAACAAATAAAAAAGAAAACTTTATTCAAAAAAAGAAGAGAATACAAAAATACGTAATAAGTTATCATCCAAAAAGGAAAAAAAGAGTCCCCCCCAACCAAAATTTTGAAGTACATATTTGAGCCCCTGCCCAGACTTCCCAACAATTTAAAGCCTCCAACATGCCTCTCACCCACCCGCCAAAACAAAATCCGCATTCAGAAATCAAACTGAAATCCTTCCCCCAGAAAGTAGTTAAAAACAAGAAACAAACAAAAAAAAAAAAAAAACCTATCTTGTTCAACACTTAATCAGCAGACAAAGGATAATAGTTTTCCAATTCCATTAACTTTTTTCTTACAAATTCCTCCCCTCCCAAGACAAACACCCCAAATAATTTGCTTACTTGAACCTCTGTTTCAAAAATTTTTCCAAGTCAACCTTCTTCTCTATCTCCCTCACTCTTCCAAATTCTTTTTGTTGTCTTCCTCTGGTCTTTTAACATCCTCTTCCTCATCAGTACTCTCTTCGTCCCCTTCCACCTCCATTCTATTTCCTTCAGTTTGAGCATCAAAGCTCACTTCCATCTCACTTTTCTTAACCTTTCTCTGAGCTTTATCAATGGAGTTACTCTTCTCATTGCTTATATGCCTTTTAATTTTATTCTTCATGCCCCTCTTCTTGTAAACTCTTTTAAATTTATTAGAAGGTCCCACCCCGAGAATACCATCTTTCAGACAATGAAAGACCTTAGTGGTATGATCAAAGTGCCCACTATTTGTTTCTTTAGGTTTTTTCATATCTCTTCTGAATTGTCATCAATGGTAATCCCTTTATTGTTCTTACCATCTTTTGCTATCCCAAATAGACCCCTAGCTTGCCCACAAACACCTCATGTAACGTAGGAGTTCCTCTCTACCTCTTCTACCAAATCATTAAGTTCACCACGACTCATTTCCTCTTTCTTCTCTTTATTTTTATCTGACCCAAACTTTTCCACCTCTACGGCTCTACACTTCCAGCGTCAAAAGTCAAAATACATCTCAATTTCCATTAGACGATCAACTTTTTTTATCAATAACAATAAGCTCTATTAAAGATGTGAAACTTTAATTACAATAGGGGAGGTGAAATGTCTTAACTCCCCACGAACAAATTACAAAGAAAGAAAATTAGAAAGAGATAGAGATAGAAGAAATCAGAGAAGCACTAAAAGATATTAATGGGGACAGACAAAGCCCCTGGACCGGATGGGTTCAATTTCAAATTCATTAAGGCTGGATGGGGCTTTTTGGAAGGAGATTTCTCTCAGATGATTCAGGAGTTCTGCACTTTAAAGAAACTAGACAAAAGGATCAATGCCACCTTCATTACACTAGTCCCAAAGAAAGATGGAACTATAAATATAAAAGACTTCAGACCTACAAGTCTGATTAGCAGCCCTTACAAACTACTTCCTAAGGTGCTGTCTAGGAGGTTAAGGAGAGTCCTTCAGGAGGTGGCGGGTGACTCCCAAATGGCATTTGTAGAAGGAAGGCAAATTTTGGATGGGGTGTTGGTGGCCAGCAAATGCATTGACTCAAGATTAAGAAGTAAAAGACCAGGACCATGGTTTCAAATGTCGCCAAATGTCGCTAATGTCGCCCAACATATGTCGATGTCAAGGCTCACCGACATGAAAATGATGGTAATATAAAAATTACATTATGTCGGCCAACATTTCCTATATTTTGGAAATGTCGACCAAATCGGTCCAAATAACCAAAAAAAAATACAGTTTTTCCTATTATCTTGACAAGATGACGACTATTGTCGCCAGGATGTCGACTAATGTACATTAAAAATATAATATATTAGTATATTATATTAATATAATACAGTATATTAATATAGATTAATCCATTCATATTTCTATTTAATATTTCAAATAAAATATTTATAAAAAGAATTAAAAAATATAAAAACAAAAGAATAAATTAATTACTTTATAATATAAAACATAAAATATTTTTCAAGTAATAAAATATTAACTAGTTAATATTTTTTAAAATATTTATTAAAATCAGAAAATGTTTATTAAATTTTATAATAAACCATATTCTACATTTAATATAAAAAATCAGAATAAATTT